CTGAGTCTGTGGTCTTTAAAGGCACAGGATGGGGAGTGCATGCTGACTGGTTTGTCAATATGCAAAAAAGGCTAAAGTGAAGATACCACTCAAAGGTGGGCATGACAGTGTAGAAAACCAATTAGGAAAGGGGAGGTATATGTAAAATAGGTGAAGGGTGAGGATCAACCAGGAGAAAGCACGCCAAACAGGAAGACAAGTTCTTAACACAGTCTGATGATTTAACTTGTAGCTTGGCTTTCAGGCTTTAAACTGTCTTCGGCTTGAAGACGGGGTTTCACTGGGTACCCACCCCTAAGCATTTGGCTGCCTCCTGTAGCTATCACTACTTCCTAGACGTTGTAAAAATTAGGTAAATTAGCTTCTGTGAAGTGCTCTGTGCAGGATGATTGCGTAGGAATCAGTACTTAACTGTTGGACATTATTCCTACTCACCTTAACTCTGGTTGAGCTTTCTCCTAATTATGCCATTTCCCAGAATTCCCACCTTTATGGAGACTCTCAGGCTTCCTTATGTTCGGTGAATTTAGACAATCCCACAGATTTTAACTACCCCATCCATTGGAAGGATGCCAAAATTTCTAGCTCTAGTTTCTCCCCTAATTTATAATCCTACAGTTCCAGCTACTTACTGCCATCTCCAAGACACTTCTTGACACATCAAACACAATGCACCACACCCAAATTCATTACCCGTCAGACTAGTTCTTTCTTTTGACATCCATATTTCCGTTAATAGCAACCCAATTTCTTTTGTGAGGCTCCAAGTTTCTAATTCATCTATGTCTCTTCCTTCTCCCTTACTGCACGTCTCAGCAATTGCCAATTCCTATTGATTGCCTCTGAAATACCTCTTGCATCTTTTTCTTCCTTCTAATTCCCACTGCTACTGCCTAGCCTAGGTTCTCATTAATCTTTTTCTTGTCTGGACTGTAACAACAGCCTACTATCTTCCTCACAGTTTTAGACTAAGCTTAAACATAACAAGAAGCATTCTTCTAGAGTCAGACATTCATAACACATGTTTTTTTCTCCCCCCTCTCTCAATCCGTTTTGTGTGATGTTTTGTGTCTTCCCTCCATGACATCAGAGACTTTTACTAATGAGTTCACCTCTGTAGCCTCCGTACCTAATAGTACTACTTAGTACTAGTTACTAGTAAATTTAGTACTATTATTAAATATTATTATAGTATGAACATGGCATATTATTAATATGGCTTATTGCTACTGAAAATAGTACTATTAAATTTTAAATATTGATAAAATTATTTGCTAGGTTAATTATTGAATAAATCCATTTACAGCCCTTGTTTTGATCTATAGTGCATACACTTCATCTACCTAAATTGGATTTCTGGTTAATTTACTCCCTGCTCAAACATCATCAGTGTTCCTAATCGATTACCTAATGTCTAATATCCACATCCCAGAATACAAGGCCTCAATGAAGAGTACAAACTTACTTCTATGAAAGTTCTAGCCCACACTGACTATTCAATTTTTGTTTGTTTGTTTGTTTGGGGGCTTTTTTGTTTGTTTGTTTTTTGAGACAGAGTCTCGCATTGTCACCCGGGCTGGAGTATAATGTCGCAATCTTGGCTCACTGCAACCTCCACCTCCCAGGTTCAAGTGATTCTCCTGCCTCAGTCCTCAGCCTCCCAGGTAGCTGGGATTACAGGCGTGTGCCACCATGCCCAGGTAATTTTTTGTATTTTTAGTAGAGACAGGGTTTCACTATGTTGGCCAGGCTGGTCTCAAACTCCTGACCTCGTGATCCGCCTGCCTTGGCCTCCCAAAGTGCTGGGATTACAGGCATGAGCCACCACTCCCAGACTAGAATATTCCATTTTTTTTTGAGACAGGGTTTCACTGTGTTGCCCAGGCTGGCGTGTGGTAGTGCAATCATAGCTCACTGCAGGACCTCCTGGGCTCAAGTGATCTTCTCACCTTAGCCTCGAGTAGCTGAGACTATAGATGCACACTACCATGCCTGGTTAATTTTTACATTTGTTATAGAGACAGAGTCTCACTATGTTCCCCAGGCTAGTCTCTGACTCCTGGGCTCAAGCAATCCTCCCTCCTCAACTTCCAAAAATGCTGGAATTATTCATTATGCTATTCATTGAACCTTATGAATGTATCTAAGCTCTTTAGAAAATATTAAAAATACTTCGAATGCTTCATTTTCAAATATAAAGCCCTTTTTAAAAGAAGTCTGGCTATCAGTTCAAAAGCTATAACCACCACTTCAAAAATCAACCATTACTCAATTACCTTTGTCTCCTTAAAACGGACATAGTTAGATAGCCAGTGTTAATTCCTCCTACAAAGATGAGCTTTTTTATTACAAATGAAAATATCCCTCTTTCACAAAATTACACAATAAAATGTTCACCATTTATTTGAAATGTTAATATTACATCTATTACCTAATCATGAAATAAAGAAATTGGCAAGAAAACAACTGAAAGGCTACTTTATTTTTTGAGCATTTCCAACCATAGCCTAAGGTTTTATCCCCAGCTATAAATGTACTTAATTAACCAAGAGCAGTGTGAAACCTAAAAGAGTCTATCTAGGAAATTTTCATTTGTTACCTGTCATAGAACCTTTATAGTTATGTTGGACCCTCACAATAAAACATGGTACTCAGGAGCAAAATTCAGTATTAGTCAGATTTGCTTTGGACTGCATCCAAGGACTGTCATTTTGATGCTGATTTGCCAAGAACAAGGACCTATCCATGAGCCCTCAGAAGAGTAGGACAGGAAGGTCACATTGTAGAAGAAAATAGGTCAATTTCCCATCTACCATTTTAAGACCAGGTTTCACAGCCTCACTCACAAATCTGATAGATAGCAAAGGCTATTCCTTGCATTCACAAGGTAGTTTTTTACCCTGTTTCAATTCATGTCAAACTTACAGTATGCTGACAAACTAAAAATTACTGGTCTCCAAAAACCTACTCTCTTGCTCTCTCAGTAGTAATTTAAACATGTAACCAAGTGTAAGAAATGCATATTCTTTACAAACTCTTTGAATTCAAGAAACAACTAATAACTAATCTATACTCTCAAATGTATAAATGTATAAATGGTTAGCCTATCTGGGAATTCTGCTGTTTAAAAGTTTACTGAATGGTGGTCGGGCATGGTGGCTTACTTCTGTAATCCCAGCACTTTGGGAGGACAAGGTGGGTGGATCACCTGCGGTCAAGAGTTCGAGAGTAGCCTGGTCAACGTGGTGAAACTCCATTTCTACTGAAAATACAAAAAATTAGCAAGTCGTGGTGGCAGGCACCTGTAATCCCAGCTACTCAGGAGGCTGAGGCAGGAGAATCGCTTGAACCCAGGAGGCGGAAGTTGCAGTGAGCCAAGATCATGCCATTACAATCCAGCCTGGGCGACAAGAGTGAAACTCCACCTCAAAACAAACAACCAAAAAAAGTTACTGAATGATATTTTCAATAGGTAGTCATATCTTGATTAACCTTATTCCTATTTTAGGTCAGAGACAGTGCCTGATTTTCTAATGCTGGTTTGAAACCCACTAATAGAAATCCAGCCACCTACACACTGCTTAGTTAGGAATACATTTTAAGCATTCAGAACCTACATATAATATTTTGACTTTTGGAATGTAAAATGAGCAGGAGAGTAGTAAAGAGTCAACATGCCACAAGTTAGCTTCACCATCTCACTGCTTTGAGAAATTGTAACTGATTGCTGCATCTCACCATTCCTACCCTAAATTAGTATTTTATTGCTTGCAAAATATTTTTTACTAGAATAGGAATGCTCAAAGCAGGTAGAAAGATACTCCTTGTTAGCCAAATATTGCTTGATAGTAATAATCAATAAATAATAAATATATATACTATATAAATAAATGAGATAAATTAATATACTCATTTTGTTAAAAGAAAAAATAGGTATTTATCTGCTACAAAGGTGGGATGATCTGGAGTGTTCTTATCAGGCGTCTATCTGATGCCCAGGTAGGCAGTGTCAGAGAACAAGGAAAGGCCCGGAGACCCACTTGTAGCTGGAGTTTGCAGAAGCCGAAAGAAGTAGACAATAGTGATTGCCAATGTATAATAATCCCTTTTTACCAATGGTGAGCAGGTATTTACTTTGCCTTAGGAAATATGTAACCTTTGAACCTTTTAATCACTGGCAACTGATACTAATGCGAGACAGGTAAACCTTTCCTTATACTTTGGGAAAGAACAATTGACTACTGAAAAAGAGTCAGTGGTTCACAAAGACCAGTAAAGCAAACAAACAAAAAGTATATTTAATATATGGCCACTGCAGATCTAAGGGATGTAATTACCTAACAGGAGAGTAAATCCCCTGAGTCATTTTATGTTTTTACATGTAAAATGTTTTTTTCAGTTTGTGTTGATATTAACTCTATAAACTACTCATATTTTGGTCTATTCATTTATTCTGCCTGTAAAGATTTGCGTTCTGATTTGCCCTCACATCTGCGTTTGCTGGAGGAACAGATGCTCAGTTCCTAAGGGTCAGAGTTTGGCCTTTTCACTCCCATCACTAAACCAGAAAGAAACAGGGTTCCGAAGAATGGTGGCAGTTTTCCAATGGTTGGCCTGCACGTTTACATTTAAAGTAAGCAGGTGGCATCAATGGGCTGTCTAATGACTAACAAGATAAGAGTACAATTGATCTTTTTATTAACCCGTCTCCCTAGGTGGGTGGCAGCCTGCTCCCCTCTCTGGGTTCAGTCACATTGTTCAGTTCCAGGAATCATTTTAGATCTTTTCGCTTTTTTTTCTGAGCTGATACTTAAAACACAGGGACACAAGCGCTAATATCCATCTCACCTAAATTCTGTTCTCTCTGTACCTGCAAATTGGTAAATGCCTTCATCATTTGAATCTAATATAAAAAAATGCACATGCTAATGCATTTTCAATTTCATTGATAATCTTTTCATGTTGAATTTGAACTGTGGATTTGTTTGCCTCCCTTCTAGGTTACAGACCACTTACTCTAAACTTCACAAATGGTTCTGAAGAGTATGGAGCCTACGTAGACTCATAAGGTAAATGATTAATTTCAAAATAAGACATAATAGCTTCAATTATGTTATGAATTCAAGCACTGCCTAAATGTATTTGCTTTATCTATTGGCGGTTTTCTAAGTTCTGATATTGGATGATCTTTTATTAAACGTGGAAGATAAAATCATGATCCTGGGTGGAGATGAGAGAAGAAGAAACTACACAAATGGGTTACCTCTTTCCATGGGTCGGGTTATTCATTGTATGTTGCTTAAGACTGGCTGTCTACCTATCTAGATTTCTTACAAAATTATGCTAGCGGTCTTAGGCGTTTTTCTGCCTTGGAGGATTCTTGGACATCACAAATTACATAGGCAAGTAGAGATCAATTAAAGTTGCTATTTTCATAAATGAAGCCAGAAATTATTAGGATGCATTCCTTTGTAGAAGTAGGATAAGGTACAAAATATCCTGTGGTGGTGTTAGATGAGGAAGTGTGGGATGAAGGGATTTAGAGAGGATGGCCTCACATTTCTATTTCTCTGAATCATGGTCATCATTTGCTTTCCTGGTTATTACTAAGTAATTATACATTCCTAGAAGCTATGAATTCTATATTAAAGTGGACTCATACAGAATCTTTAATTCCACCTATAGAAAAATGATTAAAAGCCTAGCTTTCAGAGCCAACCTAAATTCAAAGTGTGATTCTGTCATTTACCAGCTATGTGGCTGTTGGCTCCACATTTCTTATTTGCAAAATGGGATAAATTGTCATACCTACTTTCAAGAGTTGTGGCATAGCAAAAACAAATTAGTAGATGTAAAACGCTGAAAATATTGCCTGGCACCTAGTAAGCACTAAACTTGCTGACTTCACAAAGCTCTATTTTTTGATCTCCTCACTTTACGGATTGTTTGACTAAATCTCTATTTTCAACCTCCTCACCTTACTTGCTTCAGGTTCTGAATTCTTCCATAGTCCACCAACTTGGAGGCTATAGGAATTATTAAGGGAACCAAACTCTCAATTCCATTTTAGCAGGCTGTCTCCTATATTTTCACGTAAATGCCAGGAAAGAAAATAATTGGCATCCCATTGCCCTTTGAATGGGTTCCTGGCTCCCTCTAGGTGGTGTGACGTGTAAAGTGACCTGAAAGTGGGGTGCCTGCCAGCTCGGCGCACAGCACAGCGTAGTTGGAGAATCAATTACAAGGCTTGTCACCATTTCAGAAACATGCAAACATCAATTGGCATAGAGTTTCAGGAAGCAGAATAAAAAGGAACCTACAAAACAAAAAGCCTTTCAGGGGGATGCAGGCACAGTTCTTCCAAATCACAAACGGATGATTATGATCACCATTAGCACTTAATGAGCCTATATAGGGCTAATGACTTCATCTGCCCAGTAGATTTGCCAATAATCCATGTTGCCACTCATGTTCATCCTTCTCTTCTAAGAAACATTACCATGGTGTTAAATCATGGGATTTCCCTCTCCTCCACTAGCAAAAATGTATTTCTCAATTCTACCATTCCCTAGTTTTCTTTCAGAAGTAAGGTAACAAATTAGAGAAAAGAAAATAACACCCAGGGATGGCTTATACAGCCCTGGAACACCTGGGTTCAATCCAAAATTGGTCATTAACTATTCTCTGACCTAGTTTTCTCATCTTCAAAATGTAATCAGTCACTATCCTATTTACATTTACATAGTGATATATCACTCTTCTATTTCCAAAGGTAATATTAAAGATGAAAATATGTGAAATTGATATTTTGACATAAGTAGAGATATCATTTATTATATGTAATTTAGATATTTATTACAAATGCTATAATTTATTATAGCTATATTTTCTTTTAATAACTAAAATGTGGAAAATGGCATGTTAAAGTTTAAATGAGTTATCTGCTGAGCTACTTAAAAAACTACTAATGAGAATGAGATATAAGACCTAAACTGAAGTTAGATCTTTTTACAATTAACCATACTATTATAATTTTTATATTAGTCAACAGTAAATTTTACTGTTAAAATCATTTAAAGAGGCAAATGTTGGCAAACAAGAAGTAATATCGTGAAGAGCATATATTAATAATCGGTTATTTATTGAAAGAAAAAAGTTGTTATAATAGATACCATTCCCTATGATGATTCCTATATGAATTTTTTTTCTTTTCCTTGTTTTAAAAATATAATTCAGTAAACATAGTAGATCTTAAAAGTGTATAATATATTGAGAGCAAGGCAAATAATAGTTACTGTGGAAGGGATAATATTAGATATTAAGAGAGTGCTTCAGGGTAATACTTCAGAAATTCAGAATTGTTTTATGTTAAAATATTTCAGCATAATTTCTCTGGCATCTTTGTGATATAAATAAACTTTATTTTCTATGATAGTGCAAGAAGCATAAATGGGTAATGTCTACTACCTATAACCAGCATTTCAGGAAACTGTCACTGTTTAAAATCCATGGCGGAGACTGCATTTTTGGGCTCTAGTCCCAAATCTGCATGTGAACTTCCTGAGTCATCTTGAGTAATTAGCATCTCTCTGACTGAAATTTTTGATATACAACTTGAAGAAATGGATGAAGGGACCTCAAAGAAAAAGGCTGATTTTTAGAAAAAAACTTTCAAGCAACAAAAATGGTTAGCAGTTTTTAACATGCACAAATTAACATTCTGCTATTTGTCTTTCCTTACATGTATGCCTATGCTTCTCATACGGTTTGTATCTGTGTCCCCACCCAAATCTCATGTTCAATTGTAATCCCCAATGTTGGAGGTGGGGCCTGGTGGGAGGTGATCTGACCATGGAGGTAGCACCCTCTCTTTGGTGCTGTTCCCCTGATACCATTCGCAAGAGATCTGGTTGTTTAAAAGTCTGTGGCACCTCTCCTGTCTCTCTCTTCCTCCTGCTCTGGCCATGTAAGGTGGCGTGCTTTCCCGTCACCTTCCACCATGATTGTAAGTTTCCTGAGGCCTCCCCAGAAGAAGATCCTGCCATGATTCCTATACAGCCTGTGGAACCATGAGCCAATTAAACCTTTTTTTTTTTTTTTTTTTTTTTTTTTTTTTTTTTTTTTTTGAGACAGAGTCTTGCTCTGTGGCCCAGGCTGGAGTACAGTGGCTTAATCACTACATACTGCAACCTCTGCCTCCAGGGTTCAAGTGATTCTCCTGTCTCAGCCTCCAGAGTAGCTGGGATTACAGGTATTCGCCACCACATACAGCTAATTTTTGTATTTTTAGTAGAGACAGGGTTTCACCATTTTGAACAGGCTGATCTCGAACTCCTGGCCTCCAGTGATCCATCTACTTCAGCCTCCCAAAGTGCTGGGATTGCAGGCGTGAGCCACCACACCCGGCCAAACCTCTTTTCTTTATAAATTACCCTGTCTCAGATATTTCTTTATAGCAATGTGAGAATGAAATAATACAGCCTCTACACCCCCTGATCTCATCATTTTAAGAATCATGACCAGGTGTAGTGGCTCATCTCTATAATCTAGCACTTTGGGATATCAAAGCAGGAGGATCACTTGACCCCAGGAGTTAGAGACATGCCTGGGCAACATGGCCAAACTCTGTCTCTATTAAAAAACAAAGACAGCCGGGCGCGGTGGCTCAAGCCTGTAATCCCAGCACTTTGGGAGGCCGAGACGGGCGGATCACGAGGTCAGGAGATCGAGACCATCCTGGCTAACCCGGTGAAACCCCGTCTCTACTAAAAAATACAAAAAACTAGCCGGGCGAGGTGGCGGGCGCCTGTAGTCCCAGCTACTCGGGAGGCTGAGGCAGGAGAATGGCGTAAACCCGGGAGGCGGAGCTTGCAGTGAGCCGAGTTCGTGCCACTGCACTCCAGCCTGGGCGACAGAGCAAAGACTCCGTCTCAAAAAAAAAAAAAAACAAACAAAAAAAAAAAAAACAAAGACAAACAAACAAAAACAATGAAAGGGTTAGTTTAAATTGGACCCTCCTCATATTCCACAAAAGTTTTTAAGTCACAAAAAAAGTCTAAGCTAAGTTTAACATTTATTCTTACCCACTAGATATTTGGAGACTTTTTTTCTTATCATTTAACTAATTTCACTGGGGGAGGATCTGTATTACACCCAAAACTTGCTCACAACAAATAAACATGAAAAGAAGATAAAGTGTGACCCCTATACTTTGCAGTGTATTTATAGAAGTAAAATTAACATATACAAAACTAAACATTAGCACCAGAAAAAGTATACATATATGTTCATTTCAGTATAATAAATTATGAATTTTATAGGAATTCTGATGGAATAAGTGGCATCAAAGATGTGGTTTTAATAATGAATACTGGCCGGGCGCGGTGGCTCAAGCCTGTAATCCCAGCACTTTGGGAGGCCGAGGCGGGCGGATCACGAGGTCAGGAGATCGAGACCATCCTGGCTAACACGGTGAAACCCCGTGTCTACTAAAAAGTACAAAAAACTAGCCGGGCGAGGTGGCGGGCGCCTGTAGTCCCAGCTACTCGGGAGGCTGAGGCAGGAGAATGGCGTAAACCCGGGAGGAGGAGCTTGCGGTGAGCAGAGATCCGGCCACTGCACTCCAGCCTGGGTGACAGAGCCAGACTCCGTCTCAAAAAAAAAATAAATAAATAAATAAAAATAATGAATACTTTGGATACATAGTGCTTTGGGGGGCTAAATAAACAGTGATACTATGGATTTATGTTATCCAGGGTCTGTGTAATATGCTGTTTGATTGCTAAAAGTAAGACAAAGGGATAACGCAAGGGGCTGGGTAATTCACTACGAAGGCAGGTGAATCCTAGGAAGTCTTTCACTCTTGCACATTCAGTGAAAGTGCCAATAGGCATCACACCAAAATCCCCAGTGTAGCCAGAGTCTGAAGCTTTCTTCTTTTTTTTTTTTTTTTTGAGACGGAGTCTCACTCTGTGGCGCAGGCTACCGTGCAGTGGCCGGATCTCAGCTCACTGCAAGCTCCACCTCCTGGGTTTACACCATTCTCCTGCCTCAGCCTCCCGAGTAGCTG